ATTCCACCTTTACTGGTGTATGTCAAAAGAGGTCAGAAGGTGGGTGGAAGAGGAACCCTCCCATTCTCTGAAACCTGTGGTACCTGTCTTTCTGCTGCTTTGAATTGGATGCTGATTTTGAAGTTTGGGGTTTGTTTTTTTTAAAAAAGTTATTTTTGTATGCTGCTCTGAAAGCCAACTGCTAGTGAGAAGCAAATATTGTGGGAGATTATGATAGAGTGGAATAGTTCCACTGTTACCTTGCCAAACAGGAAAATCAACACTGCTCTGAAGAGAGATGGAAAGAGTGTCTGTCTCAGTGTAAAACTGGTCCAGATCATATGTAGCATACATCTCTTTTTTTTTCCTGGCAGCTTGCTGGAATTAATGAGAAAATCAGATATGCAGAGCAGCATCTTAGGAATCGGGAATTAACAAAACTAAAAGATAAGACTAGAACTTTGGTACTCGACTGATTCCTAGTAATGGATTAAACGCTCACAGTATTACACACTGTTAAGTGAAAATTGGTTAGCAAAATATTAAATAATTTAAGTATTTGACAGGTGTGAAAAGAGATGTGCTATTAATGCAAACAAGGGTAATCAATAATATAATTGATTTTACATGCTTTTTGCATTTAGTTATTATCTATTCCGTGTCACTGTTGTTTTAAGCGGGTAGGTGGGAGTATTAGTGCATTCAGAAATTATTTAGATCCCCTTTACTTTTGTCAATTTTGTTATGCTGCAGCCTGATTCTACAGTTGTTGAAATCATTGTTTTTCTCATTAATCTACATTCAGTACTCCATAATGACAAAGTGAAAACAGAATTTTAGTAATGTCTGTAAATGTACAAAAAAAGAAGAAACAGAAATATCACATTGGCATAGGTATTCAGATCCTTTGCAACAGCACATGAAATTTAGCTCTAGTGCCTCCCATTTCTCTTGATCTTTGCTTGGAGTTTGCAAAAAGCACCTGAAGGACTCCCAGACTGTGAAGAACAAACTCTAAGGAGGCTTTTATGCCTTTTGCATTGAGGAGGGGCTTCCATCTAGCTACTCTTCCATAAAGCCCAGATCGGTGGAGGGCAGCCTTTTGGAACTCCGTCCCATCTCCACACAGGATCGCTGGAGCTCAGTCAGAGTGACCATCAGGTTCTTAGTCACTTTTTCTTACTAAACTGATTGCTCAGTTTGATTGGGCGACCCGCTCTTGGAAAAGACCTGGTTTCACCAAACTTCTTCCATTTACATAAATGACCTCTGTGATCATATTAAGAGCAACTGCGTTCTTTTCGCTGATGATGTAAAGCTGTTCAACACCACAGACAATACTGCTACCCTTCAAAAAGATCTTGACTATGTATCAGAATGAATTACTTTATAAGTAATTCCAGGCAGCAAATTTCCTAATACTTTTACTTTGTCCTATTTTCCCCACAACATCCCTGTGAGGTAGGTTGAGCTGAGAGAGAGTGACTGACCCAAAGTCACCCAGCTGGCTTTCATCCCTATCTGGCCAATAACACTGTGGTTATATCTCGTTGTTTATCATTTATCAATAAATTAAGAAAAAACTTCACCATGCAACTGTTTTTGTTTTTAATTTAAGACTGCTTGTTTAGTCCTAAACTGTGTTAAGGTATCAGATTCATGAAGATTTAATGGTATGAATTTGGCCTTTCTTATAACCTCACTGAACAGTATGAAATTGTTTAGAAGACAGAATTGCAGCTTTCTTCCTTCCATGCACATGGGAGAGAAAGGAATGTATGTAAACAACTATTTCTCATGCACAATAATTCATTTAATCCGTGGGTCTTAGTTTAGAACTATAAGTGGTTCTCAAACATTTTGGTCTCAGGACCTCTTTAGATTCTTAAAAATGTTTGTGGAGCCCAAAGAGCTTTGGTTTATGTGGATTCTACTTATACTGTATTATTATTATATTTTGATTCCACCTTTTTATAAATAACTCAAGGGATTAACATACCTGATGTTCCAGCCTCCTCTTTTCCTCACAACACTTGAGGCAAGTCGTTCTGCTGGTTAATTGTCCTCATTGTTAGAAAGTTTCTCCTTAATTCCAGGTTGCTTCCCTCCTTGATTAGTTTCCATCCATTATTTCTTGCCTTGTCTTCTGGAGCTTTGGATAATAGGTTGATCTCCTCTTCTTTGTGGTAGCCCCTCCAATACAGCTATCGTGCCCCCACAACCCTTCTTTTCTCTGGACTAGCCAAACCCAAATCCTGCAAGCCCCTCCAATACTGGAATATTGCTACACTTCAGCCTCTTGCCTATACTGTCAGGTGAATTCAGAGTAGAGTTGACTGTAAAAACAAAAGCTTTGATTCTTTTCTACTGGAATGACCTTCCTCCTGCTGGGATTTCTAGAGATCTCTTCTTGAAGTTGCTGCTTGTGCACCATTTGTTTGTATCTCAACTGCCTCCCGTTTTCCAAGCAACTCAAGTTGGTGTCCTTTTAGGGAAAAGAATGAAAGCCAGAGTTTTCCTGTTTTCATGTACTAGTAAACTTTCATAGCATGAGCGAAGTCATGTTTGACAAAACCTCATTACCCAGGCATTGTTTGGAGTTGTGGCTCAGGCTATGATTACTTTAGATGCATGTGAATCTGAACCCAAGCCAAAATTGCTTGGGTGTGAAACTAAAATCAATTTGGTGTGAGACTAACATCAATGTTTAATAAAACAGCTGGCTGATATTGCATTAAACTGTTGTTCGCTTAACCGTGCTTAGTGAATAATCCACAATGACTGGATCCTTACACACTGTGCTAAGCCATAAACAGTGGTGGAAATCAAAACTTCAATTTATAGAACACACTAAACTAAAATTAAACCAACTTCATTAGGTGATGTGAAAGGATAAGGAAATTATATTGAACTGTATAAAAAAGGCTTGGGATAGCAATTCAAGTAATCCTCAACTTACAGCCACAATGGAGCCTGAAATTTGTTGCTAAGTGAGAAATTTGTTGAGTTTTGCCCCATTTTATGACTTTTGTTGCCACATTGTTAAATGAATCCTTGCAGTTGTTAAATTAGTAACCTGGTTATTAAGTGAATCTGGCTTCCCCATTGACTTTGCTTGTCAGAAGGTTGCAGAATGTGATCGCCTGATCCCAGGACACTGCCAACTGCCATAAATGTGAATCAGTTGTCAAACATCTGAATTTTGATCACATGATCATGGGGGATGCTGCAAAGATCACAGGTGTGAAAAATGGGAATAAGTCACTTTTTTCAGTGCCATTGTAACTTTGAACAGTCACTAAGTAAACTGTTGTAAGTCCTAGACTACCTGTAGTAAAATATTTTTTTTTTTTAAATGGTATATGTGGATAACTGAATTGGAAAATTAACCTGATTTGACTGGACACCTGGAATTATAGCAGTAAGTCTGGCCTTTGCCCACCTCCATTCTCTGAGCTGGGCGGGGTGTGTGCACATTGGGCTAGATGACCTGCAAGGACCCTTCCAATTCTGTTGATTTGTTAAATTCATCTGATGGAGTCTTTTCTCTCTTGGATTTTTTTTTTTTTTTTGAGGGGTGGGGAGGCCCTTCTGCTGATGTTTCCTTCCCATTCTCTCTAGGGATGCACTTGGAGGCCTGGGCTGCAAAAACAATACAGAAACCCCAACTCTTTGCCACCACTGACCATCATTTGTAGTCCATCTATAGAAGTCCCAAAGGTGCTTTTGCAGGAGACAACTGGACTTTTTTCTTTTTTTTTCTTTTTTCACTTCTCATCCAAGAAGCGCCTTCAGCTCAGACAGGATAGCGGGGAATGGAAGCATTTATATATTCCTTGCAGACAATCTGCAATTTGCATCTATAGAAACTTTAATGGGGGGGAACCCTCCAATGAACCCTTGTGTGTGTATGGAGGAGTGGGGAAAACCAAGAAAACAAAAGAACCAGCCAGCCCCCAAGTACATTTATAAAACACGAAAAACACTTTGGTTAGCTAGCTTACCTAAAAAAAAAATTTAAAAAAACCACCTCATCTCTCACTTTCTTGTTATGGCTTTTCAATTTAAAATAAAAGCCATAACAAGAAAGTGAGAGATGAGGTGGTTTTTTTTAATTGTACTATACAGAAAAATACCCCTCACGAGTCCTCCCTTTCTTGGGATATCTAAATAGACTGCCTAAAGGAGAATAAATCCGAATTGCCCGCTTGCTCTGTGGCGCCCCGTATCGGAATTAAACCAAGGAACGCGTCGAGAGGCTGACGACGGAGTCCCGAGCAGGAATTACCCGGGAACGAGAACGCGATAGTGTTGTGTATCGACTGCTGGCGTATCTCGCTCTGCAATTAGTCTTGCACGGTTTTGCACAGCGCGCTTCTTCTGCAAAAGCAACCCTTACAGGTTCCCGCCGCCCCGCCCGCCCAATTTAGGAAAGGAGAAGCCCGTTACCACCGACCATCCCTGTTGTTCGGTTGCTTGCTTTATTTTCCCCCCGCAAGCAAACCGCCGCCCCCCCAAAAGAGCGCCCCCTGTTCCTCAGGGAAAACGCAACCCCCACCCCCCACCCCCCGCTTTCTGCTCTCCACGACGGGCGCGAAAAAGCGCCAAATGCCTTTTGGATCTGGTGAATCTGAGGGGGAAGGTTCCAGCCGCTCGGCTCTTGCTCTTACGGAGCGCGGCCGCCCACCTCGCTGCCCTGTCCGGGAGCGCCGTCCCCACCAGCCCTCCCGCCACTTCGTGGTCCGTCCTTCTCGTTTAGCGCCGCTCTTCCCCCGCCCACGCGGCTGGGAAAGACCCTGGCAAGGCGGGTCCCCCTCCGCCCGCCGCAGTAGCCTTCGCCAGGACTCTCCGAGCGTGCCGTCGCGGCCGCTACTATTGCAGCTACTATCGCCACCATCGCCACCCCTCCCCACCACTCCCGTAAGAGTCAACCGAAGGCGGCGGGACATCGGTGGCGCGCTGCCCCTTTGGACGGCTGGCTCTCCTGCGCGTGCTTCAGATTTTGGGATTCTGCACTTTGGGACGTCGTCGCGTTAGCGGCTGCAGAGCTTGGGGAGCCAAGAGGCTTTGGTGAGCGGTGGTGGCCCCGTTTCAGGTGAGGTACCCGGGGTTCCTGGGTTGCGTTGATCTTCAGCCCTCCCCTCTCCCTCTGAGGAAAAACATCCCTACGGTTGGAGTGGCTTGTCTGGAAGCAGCGCCGTTCCTTGCCTTTTAGGATGATTTTCGGTGCTGAGCAAACCTGCCAGCAAAGCACGATTTCAACGGGCTGTTAAGGAAAAAAAAAAAAAAACTCGTGCGGTTGTTGACATAGGAAAAGCTGGATGCCAACTTGGATCGTCATCGGTAGCCAAAGGTAGATTTCATGAAAATACGAAACCCAAATGGTCCGGGGGGAATCAGAAGTGCGGGTGCGCAAATTGCGCGTCTGGGGAAGAAAAAAAAGGTTAGGCTGAGTCCGTGCCCCTTAGGAATTGGTGCGAGGGAACGGAGCAAATACCGGTCCGGCCATAGGACCATCCCCCATTCCTAAGAGTCACTTGGTTGAGTTGGGCGGCCAAAGAAATGGGAATAACGACATTGAATGAGATAAATAATGCTCTACTGATTAAATCAAAGATATTAAAGGCAAATTGGTTGGAAATGATGGCAGCTTCGGAAACCTCAGTGAGCAGAATTCAACACTATTTTCTTCTGATTTGCACATCATTCTTGGAAGTATTCTTAGGAGGGTAATAGTGAAGCCAGAGGAAGATTAAACAGAATTGGGTTTAAAGCCCAGAAAAGTAAGCTTAGGGGTGGAAGTGGTTAGCTATGTGTACTTTAAGGAGAATTTAGGCATTGGTGGATGCATTTTACCACGACAAATATTTTGGTTTTTTGCACCACTGGTACACAAAGGTCTTTGAGTATTTATTGAGCTTCTGTATGGATTTGACAGGGCAAAAGAGTTTGCTCCCTTGAAACAGTCAGCTTTTAAATTCAGAACCAACCCTGCGTTTCCTTTTTGGAAAACTGACACTAATTTTATCCAGATTGCAGCTTCTGAGCTCTTGTGTGTTGGAATCACAAAAGTCTTTCACTAAGGTTACTTATTTGATTTTCAGCTCCAGACACCTTGTTTAAATAAATGAAAATAAGGCAGCAGAAAAGGAGAAAGGGAGGGACCCTAAAACGTAATTACATTTAATAAAAACAGCCAAAGCATTTTGATTAGTCTGTAACACAGAGTTAATTCAGATTCCATATGAAAGTTTTTGGCTTAAAAGACCTATGGATTCCTTCACTTCTGAATATAAGTGAATATGAGGCAGAATGAAGTCATGGCTAATCCCAATTCCATACTTTTCTTTCATTTTTTTAAAGATTCCTTTTATCCTATCTTTATTATTTTTATAAATAACTCAAACCCTGTGAGGTGGGTTGGGCTGAGAGAGAAGGACTAATCCAAAGTCACACAGATGGCATTCATGCCTAAGGATGGACTCCAACTCACTATCTCACTATGAGCTATGGTGGCAGAGTTGTTAGAGTGCAGTACTGCAGGTTACTTCTGCTGGATGCCTGCAATTTGGCAGTTCGAATCCCACCAGGCTGAAGGTTGACTCATCCTTCCGAGGTGGGTAAAATGAGGAGCCAGATTGTTGGGGGCAATATGCTGATTCTGTAAACCACTTGGAGCCGTAAAGCACTGTGAAGCGATATATAAGTCTAAATGCTATTGCTATCTCCTGGTTTCTAACCTAGTGCCTTAACCACTAGACCAAACTTTCAATTACATCAGACCGACAGAAGAGTTTGGCTGCTGGCAAATCTGAACCTATTTTACTTATGAACTATTCCATGGTGCTTCCCAATTTCCACATACCTGTGGAAATTTGAGTGTGAAGGTTTTGTGCTCCCACTGGAATTATTTAGAAAGGAAAGTGATTTAGCAATATATTAAAGATAATTTGAGATTTCAAAGGTCTTCTTATATTGCAGAGTGAAAGGGAAATAGTGTTGACAACCCTAACCCTAAGAACTCAATTAAGTCATTACCAGCACAGAGGGGAGAAAACAGTTTCTTTGCCAAAAGTAATTTTCTCTCTCTTTGCAGTAGTTTCAAGGTTTTTTATTTTTAGAGAATTTTTCTTCCCGTGGGAGCCACTGCCACTTAGGCATTGAAATATTAATTTCCGCCTTAGCTGCGATACTGCATATACATTGCAATGATTCATAAATGGACTTGTGAGCCATTATTTTGGAAACATACCACTTCATATTGCATTTTGGATGCAAGTGTTCAAGAAATGACTGATAAAATAACTAGAATAAGATTCTGGAGTTTGTCTCAGATTACTGTGCACTGAGCCAACTACACCCTCAGATATAGATAGCTACATTTTATGTTTTCTTTTTCAAGTAGGGTGATGGTGTTTAGTTTCAAAGATCATATAGTATATACTGCCAGTCATTCTCTCAGCCCTAGGAAAGAGGCAGTTACAAAGCACTTCTGAAAAAATCTTGCCAAGAAAACTTCATTGCACTTTTCCAGGCTTTGCCAGGAGTCAAAAAACTCGCCCTAAGGGACAAAAAAATGGCATAAAATGACTGGATTGAAAGAAAAAAATGGGAGATGGGTGGGAATTTTTCCAGAAGAGAAATAAATAAAATAAAAAGACATCCAGGTGTACTTTAAAACTGAAGCAATTATTAGGGAAACAAAATCTTAAGGGGGAGTCCCAAGAGTGTGCCAATCTTGAACCTTTTTCTAGATAATTCAATCCATTTCAGATAATAATTAAACACCCAACCCGTTGGATTAGGGTAGGAAATCTACATTTTAAACATCTGAAATTCTGAGAAGATATAGTAAAAGTATTCCTGGGGGATGCTATATCTCAATCAAATCGGGGGGAAAAAACAAGACTTTCCAAATTATAAATTAAAACAGGAAGATAGATTGTGATGGCACTCCTAGTGAATTTTATCTGCTTGTACTATAAAGCTTTTACAATCTAAGCATAATAAGGATTAGAGTAAAAGCAGGTTCTGTTGACAGTGGGTTCTATCCATATGCAAAATGTTTTCAGAACTATAAACTGCTCTGGGAAGTTCTCATTATTCTCATTAAATCTGGCAAACCTTTACAATGTGTTGCATGGATGATAATATAGGTCAAAAGAAGTAAAGGATGAAGTCAGTCAGTGAAGTTCCTTCTAACTGTGCTTATTGCATACCTCTTTGGCCTAATCAAATATCTTAACATGCATTTCATGGGTTGGATGCAGAGATTTTTCTCCTTTGCCTTCTTGGCATCTTTCTCAGGCCTTTTTACTTGGAAAGTTCTGCCCATAGAATCCCACTGCTATTTGGTGATTGTTTTTCCTGGCTAGCTTATGGAGATAAGGATGAATAACAGCAGAAAAAGTATTTCCGTACTGTACTGATAGATGGTAGGTTTTTTTTTTTCAAATGTAAGGTAGGATTTTGTTTAAGGCCAATATTTAAAGTTCAGGAAGCATTTTATAAAAAAAACAAAATGAAATGCTGTGTACTCAGGTTTGCAGAGAAATATCCACAAGAAAGCAATCCAACT